CCGACTTTCCAACTAACCAATTTTAACTCATTAGTTCATGGCATACCTTCGCATCCTATTAATATTCTAGAAGGGTTTGATTCAATAAAAACACGGATAAAACAAATTCTAACGACACATCTCAAAATGGAACCTAGATAGTTCGATTTATAGCCCCCGAGGACCAAATTTCAAGAAAATAGGTAAAGTCGTTGTTAGATTATCATCAGATTTGGAAATCAAAATACAAAATACCTTTTCCTTGAGGGAGTGAGCAACATTCAACCATGCATTCACAAGTACTTTATCGGAAATCATCATCTTCATAATCAGCCTATCTGTTGTGCAATTGAGCCTCTTTTTACAGAGAAAGATTGAGCATTAATCCCGAATGAATCAGTACAGTCAAGTATGTATATAACAAATTATCTTATGGAACTTTAAGTTGACTCTAAATAAGTTCCATTCATGATAATTCAGTAGCACAATAACCTAGTGAATGTCATTGTCATTGGTATTGTCCGTAACGAAATAATTCTTTCGATCGATAACTAGTTCACACTATTGAGATTGGGTATGTCGAATCAATTTCATAGTGACGGCAAAAATAGATACTTCGCTTGAAGTGAATGCTTTGTACGTCTACGCATTTTGGCTTCGACCTAACGCCTGGTTTGTCGGAAAGCTGATCTTAACGGGACAGTGTATTTTGATAAAAATGCTAATAACATACTTAATACAAATCAGCCCATCTGCTAAGTGAAGATCGTCTTTATACATGAACCTCATATCAAAACTAGAAATGAGATTAGTAAGACTCCACGCGTCCAAACCAAAGACACGAAAGATGTTTTTAAGCTAGAATGTCCCCTTCGAAGCGAAGAAGAGTACTGTGCGGTAAACTCGTATATTTGTAAGAGTTATAGCATAGCAATCCATGACATACAAAATTATGATACTCTTCACTGAGTGGTCTCCAGTCTCCATTATAGCTGATGTGAAATTCTATTCATTGTTTGAAAAACATCTTCGCTTTACTCATCTTGTCTCCGCGCGATGGTGGTCCGAGCCTAATACGTGCACCGTTGCGGAAAAAACACTAGATGTTTTGATTTACATCAAAAACAAAGCAATTTTTCTCATTACAGAGTTTATTCTGAGGTTAAATTCAAAATACTTTCAGATAAAACAATGAAAGCACGTAACAATGTTTATTTGCAATCTCAAGAAAGCAACTATCTTAGAGCAAAAATTCTATTAGGCTTTATAAAAGAACAGTCTAGTGTTCCCTAAGGCGGAGTATGAAACCCTTTCTGTTGGTAAAATTGTTTGTTGTGTTATGTGAAAAGCGATGAAGGGTGTGTCGTGACGTGACTAAGTCGAGGTTCCTTTGTTTAAAAATAGACGTTATGTATCAGATGATAATGGAAAATGGGAGATACACCTACGTTCAGTCACTATAAAGACTTACGCACACGACTGACGCAGGGACGGCAAAACTAGGGATTAAAAATTTTTGCTAATGGACATTCAAACGTATTGATATCTGGACATTAAAACATAAATGAAATACAATATACGTTGCTTGCTTTATAAATGATGCGTGGCATCGAAAGGGATTTCCTTACATGGCATCGAAGGACGCGCCACGGGCTCTCGCGGCGGGGTGCCGTGGCATGCCGCGGCTACCTGAGGTTGAAATCCCTTGCCATACTGTCCCGGTCTGCATAGGCCTAGCTTCAAGGAGGTTCTAAACTAAACTAAACTATTGGCACAATATCAAATTTAGGTGAAACAGATTCTTTTCCGACCTGGGAACCGGAGATCAGTCTCACAACCACCAGATAGGAGTGACTGTACCTATTTATTTTTCTTTATCTATATTAGTAATTGCAAGGCTATGCAAGCCATAATAATAATATGCATATAAATAAATTAGAATTGCGTTTTGAATTGTAACCACAGAAATATTAAAACGTTTGTAACACTATGTAAGTCACCACAGAGTAACAAATTGTAACAAGTTTAACATAATCATGATTTAGCTGTTGTCGCGATGTTCTTATGAAATATAACACTCGTTTGTCGACTCGAGAACCCCTGTTCATGACAATTACAATACGTACCCGCGGGAAGAGCGGCGGTAGTAACAATTGGGTACTTGCCAACTAGTCAATATCAATACTTTTTTCGAACTGTCAAAAACGACAGTTTTCTATAAATTTTGTACGAGATTTTGAATTGTGACGTCACGTTTTTTTAGAGTCAAACAGCATACTTATTTCTTAAAAATTAGCTGGAAAAATATTAAAATTAAGTTGGTAATAAAATCAATTAATGTGATTATTTTTAAATATGTTATTGTATTGAACAGTCGAAATAATTTATTTTTGATGAAGGCACGTACCCAATTGAATTTCACTATGTCGTCACCGAAAACGACGCGACAGTTTCTATAATCAAATTACTCCTCTGATTTTATCTTAACAGAACTATATAACCAAAGTTTTGCAAGGAACTGTTTAAGAAAAATGGAGATTGGAAATTTCACGGTCCACCCACGATGACAGACAACGCAAGCGTTGTTTCACGCCAGTTTTACGTGAAGTCACTCATACCATTCAGTGTGACGCAAAAGTGCATTACAAGTTAAACGTTTAATCGACTTGCCTTAAAGCGTAAAGCTAGTTAGTGCCTACCCTGCGGCCCACAGTACCCGTGCTACAGTAAACCGGTTTGCAATCCGATGAATTGCAAATGAAATGTCACTTGTTCAGGATATAACTACTGGTAAGTGGTGGTACTATGTACTGTGACCAGCTCTTTCTCATTAATAGAGTCATTATGACTTAACTGGTTTGTAGAGGTATAGTTTCATAATTGTATGACTTTCTTCGAAAATAAATTCTACTGTCCACGTTGCGTCATTTAACTAATGCATGCATCCGTCAAAATAGGTGGGTTAACGTTGCCAGTTTTCATTGTTTGCAAGATATAAGCATTTGTTATTTTGTAGGCCGCCTAACGTTTGCAACGTGGACGGTAACATTAATGTTTATTAGTTTATGTATGACTGATATAAGGGACTGCCATTAGTTAGTTAAATAGCCCAAATGCTATGCTCAGGTACCAATCAAAGTACCAAAACTGAAATAGGTTAGGTGTCATAATATATGCTATACACCTTTTTATCACAAGCAAAATTTTTATAAAACCGTGGTGGCGCGGAGGTTTAAGACGCCCGCTTCTCATGCATGAGAATGCGGGTTCAAAACCTACCAACGGCAAGGACCAATGCGAGTTTTTCCTAGTTATACGTATTTTCTAATGTTATTTAGACACGACTGACAAACGGTGAAGGAAAACATCGCAAGAAAATCTATGTTTTATAATTTGTAATTATAAGTTTGAAATTTTCAACCCGTGTTGAGCAAGCGTGGGGATTAATGCTCAAGCCCTCTCCGTATGAGAAGAGGCTTTTGATCAGCAGTGACCACTTATAGGCTGTTGATGATGAGGATGTGTATTGTTTATAAGCAGTGGTACACTAAGAACTACGATGCACCGAGAAAGTCAGTGAACACTCGCAGTCTATCTTGCTGATCACATCCATGGTATATCTGGGAAGCCTTTAGGTACTCGTATAATGGAAGGATGTAGATTTCAATACACGTCGGTGTTCCTTGTAACTCGTAAGAAGAGATATTGTAAAATTTTCATACGATTCACATAAATCGGCTTAGTTAGAATTCCAGTTTTTCCACTGCAAATGAACGCACAGTATTAATTGCCCGGTTAACAGTTGGCTGGGTTGCTGTGCCCGCGGATGTGATCGTCATGCGAAAGAACACTTTATGTAGTCCACGAATTTGTTATAAGTCTTTATGATGTACTTACGTTAATTTGTGTGTTGTGACTTGTGGATGCACTCATCAATATAGGCGAAAATATCAGAGACACATCACGATAAAAAAATATGCATCTATAATTTTCAGTGTCTCGATGTTTTGTGATTCAAATAAGTTGATAATGAACCTCAAACCTTAGATAGATCAGTTGACTACTTTATCAACAAGGACATCGAAAAGTGGCTTTAAGTCAATAACGCCAAGGTCACTAATACTCTGGCTGTCGTGCGATGAAACTTTTTGTAATCGTAAAGGCTACGTCGATTTGAGCATAAATGCACATTTAGCAATTATGAAAATGAAAATTTTCTTAAAATGCAAAATAACAGTAATATTTTTTTTTAAATTTTTAATAATAAAACTATAAATACCTACGTAAGCAAAATATCCCTATTCATTTGGTTTTTAATCAAGGTTTAAAGCTTACCTTAAGCATATAAAGAGAAATTGTGCATATTCCTATAACACTTGTATTTACGATATTTTTTACGTGATCCTAGTTACCCGAAAGAAACCTTTTGTTTTTATAATAAAAACCTTAATTAATGTAGCAAGAAATATCGACCGAAAGAATATTATTATAGAAAAACTGAAGACAACAGTATTTATTTGTAAACATTTTTTTGCTATTGTTAACGAATAATCGTGATATTAATTTATTTGTCTTACTGACATAAATATACATTTATATGTATATAATAAAAACGTATTAACTCAATTTTATAATGTCTAATAGAATTAATGGGGTAAATAAAAGTGATATATTATATATATGAGATTTTAAACAAAATGTGCATAAAGCAAAATATGAATAAAATAAATGTTAAAATCCTCCAATTAAAGAGTAAACAACCACGTATTGTTAAATTTTAAATATATAACTTCCTCCATTTTATAAATGTATTTTGTGTATTGTTGCATCTGTTTATACGTAAAATAAACCTTAACACCATTATACTTGATTTAATCGAATTGAATTTCAAATAATTAAACAAAACATGCACTACAAACAAAAAAAAATCGCAAAAGCAGAAAAAAATCGCATCGCAAAAAACAAACAAATTACCCTTAACACGTGACGGTAAACACTGAATCGCACAAAAAAACACTTACGATTTAGTTGTCTTGAAATCGAATTGAATCTTGGAACGCGTGCGCACGCCTTTGCCGTCTACACACACACTGACCGCATGGCGCATGCGCACCTTCCCCACCTTAAAGGCTTTCTTCCGAATACAGTCCATTTTTAGAGATCACCGACTGCGCAATCGCCGATTGCGTCACAATATAATGTTGTAACTGCAGCGTTTGAATTGGATGTGATCTCTTATTAAGACTACATAGGTCAGAACCTTTTTTGAAACCTTTTTGTAGGTGGGACCGTCATCAAATAACTACTCCAACCTGTATGTATGACCTTCCAACTGAGACATATTAAAAGTCGTCTAGATTTTTGGGAGAATAGCTGCAAGGGGTACCTGTAACTGGGGCACTAATACGGGGCACTGGGTTTTCAATAGATCAGCTTCTGAACTCTCCACTATGCAACGCCTGTTGACTGTGCAACCCTAGGGAGACCTACGCCTCCCTTGACCCTCATTATTCACCACGATGTCACCACGTTGCCATCGTCTTTAAATAACACATAAATTAAGTACCACTATCTTAACTTTTCTCGCGCGTTGCGCATATTATTAGATAACATCGCCTCAACAGCCTACATTTCAATAGAACTTTTGCACTTATGCACTTTTTGTAGCTTGTGTGATGAACTTGTGCGCCGTGGCTGTTCATTTCTTTTATAAAAAAAAAACATTGCCCCACACTAGAATTTGGTCACATTGGTGGACCATGAATCTTTAGTACATGCAGGAGTTTGTTATAGTCATAGTTAAAAGGTTCAGGCACATCAGTGAGCACTTCTACTCAGACTCTGTCTATTGAAATCATAATAATAAGATAGGCTATTGAAATAATTCAAAATTTGTGGATAACAACTAACTTTTGACATAAGTTGCAGTATGAAGTTTCTATCAAAAATCAATCTTAATTCATAGACGTTTGTCAAAGTGTGGGAAAGCCATGCTTCGGCATGAATTGGCCGGCTAGACCGGAGTGATACCACGGCGTCACAGAAAACTGACGTGAAGCAAAGCTTGCGTTGTGCTTCGTCGTATGATCCCTGTATCCTCAGCTAACACCAAACTCCTAATCCCCAAAAAGCCGGTAACGCACTTTTTAAGCCATAAAATAACAGATTTTATATTGAGTTCAGTTATTGAAATTATCAGTTAGTCGACTCACTGCACCCACAGAAAGTGTACAGAAAGCACCCACAAATATTATCTACTCTACCACCTTCAAAAACAGATTTGTCCCAATCTTTTAAATTCAGTCTCTGAACATGTTTTTGCAATTTACTTAGTCGAGAATGTAATGTAATAAAAAATGATCCAGTTACGAAGAACCAATCCTTAAATTTTATTCGTCATAAATTTTATTTTATTATTCCACTTGTTATTTTAATTTTACATCGCTTGCATTATTACGTCGGCTGTGTTAATCAGTTCTGCATTATCTAAGTAAATCTTTAATTATAATTATTCATAACTAGCTTCTGCCCGCGACTTCGTACGCGCAATCCTTTCTGTCATAAGAAACTTATCCTAATAATAACAAATACAACAAAAAAGGAATTAGTGAGATCGGTCTAGCCATCCACGCGTGACGCCATGGACAAAGGAAAAAGGGAATAATTTATATAGTTTTGGTAATAGGGTAAAATTATTTAACTCAGAGGCCTTAGTACGAGTTTGGTTTCCGCTTAAAATAATCGTAACGAGTACGCGTTCGGCGCTCTGATTGGTTCGTTCATTGGCGCCGGCCAATCGTATTGCCGAACGCGTACTCGTTTCGAATAATTTAAACGTAAATTAAACTCGTACTAAGACCTCATATTGCATGGTTATTATCGTGGCTGGGCATTGGCTGCCTTAAAGAAATGCTGTTTTTAATTTTCTGATTTGGTTTTCCAAGTGTCAAACTAATAAAAGTGTAAAAAGAATTATTCAAATCTCTGACTATGTAGGAACATATTACAACTCTATAAACTTTTATTTAATTTAAACAAAGAATCGTTCAAGTTATATGCTAGGTGGTTACCGGTTTACCGTCACGGTAGTCCACCTTGGTACCAACGTGCGGGCAAATATCAAAAAATATTTCGTAAGTGAAATAAATAAACGGCCTACTTACATTGTAATTATTTCCAAATATTGCATACTTATAGGTATTATATACAAAGGGTAAAAAATTATCAAGGTCACATTACTAAAATCATAAACCTTTGTTCTATGACATTTCAAAATTCGTCCGATTATTGGACATAATTTTTATATGACTGCCTCACTGGCCGAGTGGTCGTAAGTGTATCTGCCGGGAAAGGGGTCTCGGGTTCGATTCCCGGGTCAGGTAAAGTATTACTGGGTATAATCAAAAAATCTCAGTCATAGCACGAATTTTGAAATTGTGTCCGGTATATGGCAATAGGCTATTACATGGGACTCATACCATAAATAGTGAAGCTAGGATATTACATCGTACAGTGGCATTAAGTGCCGCAATGTGCACCTCTGCCTAACCTTTCGGGGATATTAGGTGTGATGTTATGTTATTTATATTTGGAAGAAATTGATACTAATCTCAGTACTCGGACTCAATAATGTTTACTTATCCCAGCAATTGTCTTCGGAACAAAATCTTAATTAAGGAATAGTTTAAGTAATGTTTTAGTAGTCTACCGCGGAGTAGGCTGCGCGACATCTCCCGCGAACGCTCCCGCTCATGAGGAAGAGTCTCTCTGTAGCTGGAAACTAATAGAGCTTTACTCATGAGTAATCCGCGATTTTTAGTTAATTTTGTATAAGTAATCATTATTGTGTCCCTGAGTACGTCAGTATAACAGATTATATAATATAAACAATTTTTATTGTAACTTACAGTAAGTATAATGTCCGTGGTAATAATTGTTTGCGTTGATTTATTTATAACACAAAAAATAAAATACATAAATCAACGCACACGTAAAGTTAACGCTGAATCCATTTATTTCTGAATGTTTCCGGATCATACACAAACATTCCCAATGCAATTATCAACATAACATAACATCACGCCTTTTATTCCCAAAGGGGTAGGCAAAGGTGTACATTACGGCACTTAATGCCACTGTACAATGTAACACTCACTCTTTATGTCACTATGTTATTTATGAGTCCCAAGTAATAGGGTGTGTAGCCTATTGTCAATGGATGTAATTTTTATACATGACAAACTATATACGAAGAGCATTGCAGTGATAGTTTTTTATTAAATTTAGCTATGTCAATGAAATCAGGACTAATCAATATACCTATGTAATAATATTTTAGTGATATGTGTCTCTATACTAATTTATTTGAAAAGGAGTTGCCATGCGCACCCAAAATTGTAATCTAGACTGAAAATCTCAAGATCGTTTAAGATAAGTACAAGTCAAGCGTTTAGACAGTATCAGATCGATATCTCCAATAAGATCTCCTCAAAGATTTTGGGCTAATAACGAGCCGTACTAATAAATATTATCAGTTCGAATGTATAACAATCCTGGCCAAAGAATATAGAGCCTATAGTTTTTATAGATGATGATTGGTCATTTTCACACTGCAGTGTTATGCTTCTCTTTCTTCGTAACTGTCGCTTGTTTTTTATTATGTGATACATTGTATTAAACACGTCAAACTTACTTTTCTGCTATACTCCCAAAAACGTGGTTACTTATGCCAAGATTTATGTGACATGTTTGTAGTTAACTCGTCGAGTACCGGCTTTGTAGACACAATTATAGAACAATAGGTTGCGGTCACCGGTGACCGCTTGGTGTTTGACAGTTTAAACCACAAAGATGGTAAACTGCGTCTTGTCAATTCCACCGAGCGGATACACTCCCTTTTTCTCACTCTAGATTGTGATTGAGTCACATCCAAAGGCTACCATAAAACTGGTATTTTATGCGGCTACATATAGTTCTACCTTACTGTTTTATTAACAAACAGTTCCCATCGATCTTGATTTTAAGTATCCACAATTAAATGTTCAAGTGTCTAGTGTATAGTGGTTAAAATGTCCAAGTGTTGGGCTGTTTAACTGTCAGTTCTTGTTCAGACATATTGAACGGATGACAAGTGGTCCGAAGGCTATAGACAAACAGGTGAACGCGCACAACGCTCACGCGAACTACGATAAATTACTTTTAAAAATGACTTATTTGGATTACTGACTTTGGTTGAGTAGTTGATTTGTTTCCTCGTTTGGTAGAAAAATTACAGGGAATTTATATCACAATCATTTTTTTTATAGCATAAGCCGGTAAACGAGCAGACGGATCAGCTGATTGTGAGCAATCGGCGCCGCCTATGGACACCCGACACACCAAGGCGTTACAAGTGCGTTACCGGCCTTTTGGGAATTGGGAATTTGAGGATTGTGGAGGATTCAGGTCTTCGGGACCTCAAACACAACGACGAAACATAATACGATGGTCATAGGTTGACAACTCGTAACCCACATTTTTTCACAAAATGAGTTATGTACATCAAAAATTTTAAAATTAAGCGCCGAATCTTTCTATTGATACCTCGTAATTTACAAAAAATGTCGCTCGAACAATTTGTGCCAGAGTTGACAACTCACAACGAACACGTATCAACTTGAACGCACTATTGCACGAGTTACGAGGTGTCAACGCAAAATGCAGTTCGCAAAATTCACTGACAGAGTAAGATCGGCGCAGGTTTTAATTGTTTAAAAATAGTTTTTTATTTAAATTACAACTTTGAATACGTATAGTTATTTCCTGGAAGTGACCTTGAAGATATATTGGTAAGTTTTTAATTTTATTTTACGTAGAACGCTCCATAAACGCTCACTTTTGAAATTTCAAGCATTCTTATCAACGATATAAGATATCGATGTTAAGATGTAAAACTAATTAATGATAAGAATTGAGATAATTAACTATATTCTACATAATACTCGTAATTAAACTTGTTAAGTAGGGATAAAGTTTCAACATTGATCATTTAAGCAGGCAATGGGCTAATTAGGTACTTATCTCGTCGTCTTTTGTTTTAGTGTTATCATGGACAAAAACAGTGAAGAAGAGC